ATTAATTTGGATAGATTTGAGCAGTCTGCAGGTCAATTCAAGCAAGAAGACGATTTTGGAATATCGGTATAACTTCAAAAGGATAAGTGTCTTGCTTAACCTCGACTGGGGGAAATACCCCTTAGGCATTGAGTATTATGTGCAAATTGTGTAATTGAAAACCATTTACGCGAGGTGACGTACTTGGTTTATATGTGCAAATTTCTTTGATTAAAATCCTTAGACGCCCTTATGTATTAAGTTGGAAATTATTGGCACTTATTAAATCCTCTATTTGTCATGCCTAGATCCTTGTTTGTTGAAATTGTTTTCAAATGATGATTTGGTGTGATTGCCACCTTGAATTTATGTGAAGTATTATTTTGTTGAGTTGTTTACTCCCGGATTTTGTTAAGATTTTGTATACATTATGGTCGCGCCATGGGCTCCTTATTGTGAAAAATGATGTATTGTTGATTTATGTGGCAAGTTAAAATATTTGAGCACTTGATGAGCCATTTGTGATATGTGAGCACTTGATGTGCAGTTGTTGAAATCATATTTACTTTGGGACTACGGAACGGTATTCCAGGAGATCCCCCCTGCCCTGCATATTTACTTTGGGATTACAAAACGGTATTTTGGGAGATCCCCTTGCCCTGTATATTTACTTTGAGACTACAGAACGGTATTCCAGAAGATCCTCCTACCCTGCATATTTACTTTGGGACTACGGAACGGTATTTCGGGAGATCCCTTTGCCCTGCATATTTATTTTGGGACTACGGAACGGTATTCCAGAAGATCCCCCTGTCTTGCATATTTACTTTTGGGACTACGAGGCGGTACCTCGGGAGATCCCCATGTCTTGCATATTTTTCTATGGATGCACTTGCTGTTGGTTATTTTATTTTCCGTGATATGTAAATTATTGTGTTCTTCCGTGATGTATTATTTGATTTTTATTATGTGTTTTGGTATTCCTTGTTGTATTGTGTTGGCTTTGGCTCTTTGTACAAGACTCTGCATGTTTGTGTTTATGGTTTTTTTACTAGTTTTCGAGAATTGAGTTATTTTGAATAAAAAAATTACTATTATATTTTAATTTAATAAATTTTACATCCAAATTAGTAGTCGCCGGATGCTTCATTTTAATTAAAATGTCATTTTCTTCACCCAAATGAGTTAAGAAAAAAATAAAATCATTTCTCTGATGATTTCTTACTTGATTTAAAAATTTTAAACTCAATTTAGTGGAAATAAATTGATCATGTGGATCTTATATACATTGAGGATATTGGCATGTGAATTATCCATGCAGTTGTGATATGAAATGAGGGCATGAGGTGCCGGAAAAATATGATGATTTAATTATGGGGCACGAGGTGCCGGAAAAATATGATGATTTAATTATGGGCACGAAGTACCGTGGAGATATGAAAATGGGATGAGACCCGTATTTTTATGATTTTGAAATTAGGTGTCACATGGTGACTTTTTAATTGAGGAATTATATTCAAAATATTTATTTGGAAGAATTTTTATTTAGAAAGCATTATATGAAAGAATTATATTTGAAAGATATTTTATTTGAGGAAAATTATATTTGAAGGAGAGTTATTTGGTAGAATTATATGTGAAGGACATTTATTTGAAGAATTTGATTTAATTGGGTGTACTTGTATTTATTATTTGTTGAGCGATATTAAATGGTGTTTTGTTGTCTTGATATGCATATCACTGGTTGTTTTATGATGTCCTTATTGTTATCTGCTGCCTACTATCTTGTATATTATATTGCACAGTCTATTAGACTAATGAGTGTCTTGACTGTACCTCGTCTCTACTCCACTGAGGTTAGTCTTGATACTTACTGGGTACCGACCGTGGTGTGCTCATACTACACTTATGCACATTTTGTGCAGAGCCAGGTATTGGAGATATCGGACGTGAGCAGAGTTAAAGAGGGACCGTAAAGATTCAAGGTAGAGCTGTTTGATCGTCGCAGTCCATTGGAGTCTTTTCGTTTCATTGTACTGTTAATTTTTAATCAAACAATATTGTATATTTGGTCCTCGTGATCATTCCATGTATTCAGTTAAAATTCGTGACTCAGTACTACCAGTCTTGGGAGGTTGTATATTCTTATTTATTCCGTTGTTAGTTTTGATTACTTATTTAATTCAAACAAAAAAAGGCTTCAAATATGTAATTGAAATTGGCTTGCCTAGTATTAGAGACTAGGTGTCATCACGATACATGTGGCGGGGTTTTGGGTCGTGACATGTTTATAGCACTAGGGGATTATTGTTGCTATCACTGCTATTTATTTTCGATTATTTTAGTATGACACAAGTTATTTGACTAGTGAATGTCTTGACTGTACCTCGTCACTACTCCACTGAGGTTAGTCTTGATACTTACTGGGTACCGACTGTGGTGTACTCATACTACACTTTTGCACATTTTTGTGGAGAGCCAGGTAAATGTGAAGTCAGTTGACTGATCGCTAGCAATACGAATCTTGATGTGGAGATTCAAGGTAAACCTGTGGCTGCGTTCGCAGGCTTCGGAGTCACCTTCTGATATTGTACTTGCACTGTTTTATCTCTATTTCAAAACAGTTATATTTATAGGCTTTCTAGTAACTCAGTAGAGCTTACGACTTGTACTACCGGTTTTAGGAATTGTAAATTTTATAGAGATTTCCATTTCAAAAAACAAATTGCTAGATGTTATTTAATTATTATTGTTATTCAGTAAATGTTAGGCTTACCTAGTCCCTAAGATTAGGTGCCATCACGACATCTTACGGAGGGAGATTTGGGTCGTGACAATTTTACTAGCTTACTTTAGTAATCTTTTTGAATGTCTTTTCTCATTTCTAGAGCACTTTGATTTTGTGTTCATCTGAAATTTCTGGATTCATAGTTGTTTTATATATGTTAGAACATTCATTGAATCTGAAAAGAAAACTTGCTAACTTTATTTATTAGAACCTGACATAAATTTTAAGTTGAATTATTAACTGATGATTGAGGATTTTCATGAGGCATTTTTTTCTTAATTGAGTTAGTTATACGTATAATATCAATATTAATGATCACTGTTAGGAACTTATACTTTTATTTCAGAACTCAAACGCTCATTGAGATAGGATACACGCGTGATGCGCGTATCCTGAATGATTTTTTTATTACATTGAACGTAAAATTTTTATTGGATAAAAATTATAATTACAGTTAAATATTTAAAACTTTGCTTTAACTAATTGGCGAGAAATCCAAGTCATTATTTTCAAAATTTATAATAAAATAGATTATAATATAGTAGTAAGATTCAAAGTGTTAAAAATGCAAACATTAAAAGCAATAAGGATGAAACATTAGAAGACAAAATATATTCTAAGTCAATTGCCATTAATTAATTTTATTTCTTTTGGTATTCATTCAAATAAATGACAACTCCCTATACTTTTCTACGTACAAAGTTACTTATTTTAAAATATTAACTTAATGTAGACATTTTAAAACTCAACATTTGATAACTTGATTTACGTGTTTTTCATATGCATATATTTTACTGATTGACGCTAAGCACACGTGCAACACACGTACACTAAAACTAGTATACTATATTTAAAGCACGAAAACCCTTAGCGAAATATTGTTCGTCTTTTTTATCCTCTATACCTTCTAACCTTTTTCCAACCTTTTTCCAGTTCGTTGGAATCATCCCTCTGTTTTCCTTCCTCTAGAAAACGAAATTCTTGACACTAAAAGAATTAAAACGATTTCCTGAACAAGAAAACTTTCTCTTTCGCCAGAAAGAGAGTTTGCCTTATACATACATGCTGACAACGACAACATATGTGTTTCACTTGATTTGTTATTCAAGCGATTAACTCACCCTGATTTTTTATTTATAAATTAGCAATTAACAAAGGTCTTTACATAGAATGGTGTATGCATAATTTTTGGTAAGCGATGTTAACATTTGAAAAAATGAATAAATCAATAAATCATTAAAATAACAAGCGGTGTCGTTAAAATAAAGCTTTTGAAATTTGCGATCTTAAGAAAACAATAACAATTGTGTGGTTATAAATATTTTTTACTAAGAAAATATAAGAATGTGTGCCAATTGTTTTGGAACAGACTAATAAAAAAATAGTGCCAATCTTTTTTAAACAGAGCGAACAATTGATTTTAAGGTTCTAAATATTAAAAAAATAAATAAAGTATGATTTTATTCATATAAATTTAGTTTTAAAGGATAAAAGGTCGATCGACATTTCGACTAATGCTTCTTTGACAAATCTTTGAAGAACATGATAAGAAAAATTGTGTTTTGTTTTCAGTATTAGGTCATAGAAATAACTGTAATTTTTATAAGATATTCTTACATAAGTCCTCATAAATCACAATAAACCATCTAAAAATTTATGTGGGATGAAAAATTTATTTATTGAGCTAGCTAAATAAAATAAGTATTTATCATTTTTCAAAAATTTATTTAATTATTATTTTATAGTTTTATATAACTCAAACGTATTGTCTAATAATATTCATGTAATTTTTTTAAATTATGTGCTCATTAATATGAGTACACACGCAAAACGCATACCCTAAAACTAATATATATATATATATATATATATATATATATATATATATATTCGACGTGATACTAGAAACCATCAATGTTTACATTGTTCCCCATATATATCCTCTCTCTATATATATCCCTTATTCATATTTTAGCCTGGATAGCATTAGTATTATAGCATGGATAGTAACTTAATACTAATCAATTCATCCCTAATTAACATACTCTAATCAACTTTATAATTTGAAAAATATCAAATTTATATTTCTCAAAATTTTGGTTTACCAAAAACAATCTTTATATGTTTCACTATGATTGAAAATTGAAAATGAACCCAAACTAAACAACCGTGAGGCCCATTACTCTAACAGGCCGGTCAAGCTGAAGCCCAGCCAAACCCTACTATCTTCCAATTTAAGTTGAAACCCTATTCTTCATTTCTTTTCTACTTGGCAACGAAGAAGCGAGCTCTACCAGCCGCAGCAGGAGAAGGGGAGTAACCGCAGCATCGACAGCAGCCATGGTAAATCAAAACGTTTGCCTACGATCTATTCCTTTGCTTTTTTTTTTTCCTGTCAAATTACGTGTTAAGTTTATTGTATATGTGTATCTTTTGGTTATTGTAGGTGAAGTATTCGAGGGAACCCGACAACCCTACCAAGTGTGAGTACTGAACAAAATTTTGCTTACAAGCTGTTTTATACAATGTTTTCATCTCTGTACATTCATGTTTTGGATTTTGCATTATTTATTCTTTCCTGAGTTTAATTCGAGATTGGTTCGTGTTCTTACATCAGCCTGCAAAGCTAGGGGCGCAAGTCTCAGAGTTCACTTTAAGGTGCGTGATCTCTTTTTCGTTTTAATTTGCTGCAGATTTTTTTTTTGTCCTCATGTGCATACTGGGTTATATGAATTGGTAGTGCCTTATTCCACAACGATTAATTTTTATTTATCAAGTGACAATAATTATTTAAAAGCTGGCCCTTTCTTCACCCCATATTCAGCACAGTGTATGGCAACTAAATAAGGTATGTTTATTTCATGAATAAACGCTTACAATGATTTATTCTTTTTTATTCCTTTTTTGGTTATGCCGCACCTTAAAATTGATGATTTGAACTGTTACTGTTATGGATGGGTAAAAGGCATACAAGTGTGGATTCTGTTTCGTCTTAGTGTCTGTCAAAATGAGTGAGTGCTGGTATAGATGAATATAAAATTTACAAGTTCAATATTTGTCTTAAATTGTGTCGGGCCCATGGTAAGAAGTGATTCATATGAAGAAAATACTTCTCCTTGATTGTAGAAGCATGTCTCTGTTTTTGCTATTGATATATGAATAAACTCTTAATTTGTTGTAAGTAGTGAATGCCAAACAAGCATGATACTATATGATTGAATTTGGAAGAGAGAAGTTCTATTTGAGGTAGAAGCATGCCTATCGACTTGTATTTTATGTCCTTTGCTTTTTGAGGCTTCTGGCAACACTTGCTATTATGACCTCTCGGTCTCTGAGGTTTTCTTTTGCTAATCTTTTGCTAGTTGCTAATTGTTCAAGTACAAGAGGTTCATCTATATATCAGTGTGCTGTGACTTTTTACTTTTAAGGTTCTGTTGCAGATGTTAGCTTAGTTTACCCAACATCCATTTTCAGATTCCCTAATGTGTAATATTAGAACTATTTCACTTCAGATTCTTATGTAGCATATTTTAATCAGTATCTGCAAATATTTTGTTGGCTGCCAAAAGCGACAAAGTCAGGTTCTATCAATCATTCATGACAACACAAATTGGTCTGTCTGCTCTTTTTGTTTGGACCTGTGATACCTGTGGTTTATTCTGGTCAGATGTGGTTACCTGGGATTTTCATTCTTGTTTTTGGATTGTTTTTGCTTTGGCTATTTGTTACTGAGTCTTTGCCATTCTGGTTGACATTTAACTGGTTTGGTCTTTCAGATGTATTTAATATGAGCTTCCCTTCTTTTTTATTGAACTTTGGCAAATAAGACTGATTTAGCAATATACATTTGTAATTTTATTGAAGTCTCTATCAAAAAGAGGGAAAAAAGAGAAAGAAAGAGTTAATGAGGTATTTGGTGGTAAACCCCAGGCCAAGCACTGACCTTGAGCTGAAGCATTCTTCTGAAGCAGAGTGCCTTGATCGAAGTTGAACTGAATACAGTTCACAAATACAGCCTTTTCACCCTAAGTTGGACTGCTCTTTAACATCTGAAATTTGTGTTGTTTGTTCTCTATTATCTACTACAGAATACACGAGAGACAGCCCATGCACTTAGGAAAATGCCTTTGGACAAGGCCAAGAGATATCTAGAAGATGTTCTTGCTCACAAACAAGCCATTCCTTTCACACGCTTTTGTGGTGGGGTTGGTCGTACTGCTCAGGTAAAGCATCGCCATTCAAATGGTCAAGGACGTTGGCCAGTCAAATCTGCCAAGATTATTCTGGATTTACTCAAGAATGCTGAGAGCAATGCTGAGGTAATGATTATGTTTCATCTTTTCCTTCATTTTGTTCAGTTTCTTGATTGTTGTACTTGCCCCTTACGTGTATCATATTTTGTTTTTTCCTAAATTAGTTTTGTTCTTTTGAACTCCTTTAGGTTAAAGGCTTGGATGTGGATTCACTTTACATATCTCACATCCAAGTAAATCAAGCACAAAAACAGAGGCGCCGCACGTACCGAGCTCATGGAAGAATAAACCGTAAGAGCTCTTATTTTCTTGCTGGCTCTTGTTGTATCTAGTCATTGATATCTTGATCCTAACCTGTTGACCCTTTGCAGCCTACATGTCTCACCCCTGCCATGTTGAGTTGACATTATCTGAAAAGGAAGAGTCTGTCAAGAAGGAGGTAAACTATTCCATTATTGTTCGTCAGAGTTTGTTTTATTACTTCAATATGTTGTGTAATGTTCACCTGCATATAGCTTGTCTTTTTTTTGGTCATTTACATATCTATTTAAAATTTTCAATTTTTGTCTTTGCCATGTAAGTCCCTAAGATGTGACTAAACATTTTCTTCGTTGTGCAGCCTGAGACACAATTGGCTCCTAGGAAGGCAAAGGCATCCTCTTAATCCGGACAGTGGCTCCAGGAATGCAGATGGTGGAATGTTTTCCGTTTCGTTGTAGTCTGTCATGAAACAATTTTGGCATTTTGAACCATTTTTATGTTTCTCCAGAAATTTGTGGTACTATTTAGCATGCCCTTGCTATTCTGAAACTTGAATTGAATGTTTACCTTATTGCTTATTAGTGGCTGAACCCATGAAAATTTTGCGTTTGGTTGATCACCAAGTCTTGTCCTACGAGCTTGCAATCGCGTTGATTTAACTACAGGTAGTTTTAGACGCCATTGTTGTTTCATGGGTCAGAGAAAGAATAATTGATAATTCCCCTGTGGTGCTTTAGCTGGTGTTTCCTTTTACTGTTTTACTCTATGCGGCCTACGCTAATTATAAATGTTTTTGCTGACGACAAATGTTATGTTGATGTATTTGAATCAAAAGTTCTTTGCCGCACGGGATTAATTAGAGGTTCTTTATCGGCCAAATATATAGACGGCCCTTAAAGTTTGTTCCAAATTTCATTTTAACACCTTAACTTGACCTATTAGATTCAAATGCTGAGGTGGCAAAGTGAGTGCGTCACACTTCTTTTTGAGAGCGTGGATACAAAATATTGAGATTAGGCTATAATTTTTCTTCCATCTCCTTTATTTGGCTTCTCTGCAGATATCACGCCGCCTCCATAGCCACTGTCTTCATCACCACCTCATTCTCACCTCCACATGTACTTTCACAGCATAAGCACCTCCATCTCCCACCGAACTATCACTATGAAAATCACTTCGAACTCTACCACCTAAAACCATTAGAAACAAAACTTCGCATCATAATGTCAAAATTCCACAGCTTCTTCAAACATGTAAAAATGAACTTTGAACCGTATGAGAGATTTGCACCAATCACTTTTCTTAAAATTTTATAAGCAGTGTAAGCCTTTGTTGTTGGTAAAGCTTCTAGTGATTGATTGAATATAGGGAATGGTGTGTACTTGTTTCATCGCCACATATCTCAGTCAGATGCGAGAGATACCTTGGGACAAAAATTGAGTGACTTATCATGTATTATTGCTCAAAATTGCAATTGCTTTCATTACAGTTAGAATCAAATTTCTGAGGTTTTAATTACTAATCTCAATTTACTGTTTTCAATCATCCAAGAATGAAACATGTGCATCTACATTCTCTTATGTGGATTCAATGTTGATTTCTTTTGACACCAATCTATTCAAGTGTTAAAATTCATTTTCTATATTTGGGCCAAAACGGTCTCTAGTAGCTACATCTATCCGAATGCAGTTTATAGATTTGAAATTTGTCGCAATTATCCGGTGGTATTAGGTGTTAGTATGGTATCTTTCTTATTCATAGATTGCTATTACTATGTGTTGTTTGATAGTTCCCTTTCGTTTCAATTTTTTTAATATCTTGTTGTTGTTATTGTTTGTTATTCACTGCTTTTTTTCATCTTTTCTTTAGCCGAGACTGTATCGGAAACAACCTCGTTGCCCTTCCAGGGTAGGGGTAAGATTTGTGTACACACTATGCTCCCAGACCCTACTGGTAGGAATTCACTAGGTTTGTTACTGTTGTTGTATTCTTCGCAATTACAACTTAGATATCTTTGGAAAGCATGCTAATAATCTCATATCTGATTAATTTCGTTTGGTTGCGGAATAGTACGAATCACAATTAGTTGTGTATAATAAGTCTAAATTCTGACATAATTTGTGTTCCATCTCATGTTTCTTAGCATCCCTAAATATGAGGTGGGGGTTGGAACGGAGGTTTTATTTTCTTTCTTCCTATCATATTGAATATTCTTTGTTGGACTGATTTATTTTGGGGTTCAGTACGAAAAGTATATATATCATAGAGAATTATGATTTGGCTATTTTTATGTTGAATTTCAATTTACTGCAATCTTCATGCTTTATATAGGTTGAGATTAGCTATGATTTGTGAAAGTAATATAGGTTATTTTTTGGAATATGTTATAATATTTTAGGATTACGGTAAAATAAGAAATTTTTTACAGTATGTTTGAAAATATAATTATCTATGTTTGACCTCATGAGTCATAAGTCTGTCAGCCTTCATAATTAATTACATTGATTGATAATCTTATAAGAGATTACATACAACCTGCTATACTAGAATATTTACATTGATGGTAGTGGTGGCAAAATGGATAGAAAAAACAGTTATCCACCAATATTATTCACTAAAAAATTAGTTGGATAATTAGTTTTTTAAAAACGGATCAAATATGGATAAGAATTATATTATCCATTTAGAAAATAGATAATAATGGATAACTAGTGAGTTTAACTCTAACATTTGTAAAGAAGGGGTTCCTCAAGTTTGGGAGATTAGAGATTCTCCTAAAAAATGATCATATTCAAAAACTCATGGATAATGTAGATATTCATGTTATCCGCCAGTAAACTCATATTTTATCCGTATTTAATATGGGTTTGGTCGGATAATTTATTCGTTTTTCCATTACCTGTTTTCGGCCCGTCCATATCCGACTTGACCCCCCGTTTGCCACCCTAATCGATAGTATTAAAAAAAATATATTACTACTGTATATAACCTAATTTTAAACATGACTTCCCACTTTGAGCTCATATAATTTCACAATATATATTTCATTTTAAATATGATGATTCTTTCATTATTTAAAAATGAAAACCTTTATGTATACGTAAAAGGAATTATTGGGTTCTGTTGGGCCCCCAAGTCCCAACACACAAGTAAATTTCCGTCAACTCAAATGTTAGTTAATAGAGGAAAAATAGTACGGGCTAGCCAGTTTTCAGACTGGTAATTAAAAATAGCCAGCGTTTGCAAAGTCATTAAAAAATAGATACTATTTTGCTATAACACGGACATGTCCAGCATAATATAATGGAGATTGGTGCACATATGTATGAACTTCTAACATATTATGCTGGACCGGTATATTATACTGGAACTCCAGTATAATATGCTGGAATATTTTCTGGATTTTGAATAGTATTTTCATTCAGATTTATCTTTATATGGAAAGTGATTAAATTTCGATTAATTTTGAAATTGTGGCTATTTCTCAATTACCACTTCTAAATCTGGTTATTTTTGAATTTCTTCCGGTTAATAGATATGGGCCTGCCTGTTTCCAATAGCTTTTTGGAAAAACTAGTCGAGCTGCATTTGGGCCAAGGCATTTGAACGACCACCGGTTACCACTCTCCCTCGGCGGCGAACTTGCTCCTCTCCGTCTCTTTCGCCGGCAACTCACTCTTTTTCCGGTGAAATCTTTTCAGGTTCCTTTCTTCTTTTTTTTGTTAGCTGTAATTGTTCAAAACGATATTTTTTTGGTTAAACTTGAAAAAGGAACCCTAATTTTGCAGACGAGTATAGGATTTCACATTCTGCTTTGTAGCTTTTCTTAATTAGAATTTTCCTATGAATAATAACAACACAGTTAGGAATGTTGGTATAGGAAATTCAGGGCCAATGCAAATACCTCAATCTATGCCCATGAACCATAATCAACCAGCGCCACATCTATTCTCTCAGTCACACGTACAACGTGCGTCACAGTTCCCTGGCCATTTTCAAATGTCCAAACCACAATCTCAACGTTCTCATGCTCAATTCCAAGGCCAAGCTCAGGCCTTTAGCCATTTCATCACTTCAGGGGTTAACACCAATGTTGGTGTCTCATCCCCTGCTACTTCCACACCTAACACAGCTACGACTGGTGGTACTAGAAAAGTGCTCCAGAGACCGACTTCTCGTGCTGGTGGTTCCTCTGGTCATGGCCAAGCAACTGCTTCACCTTTAAAGACTATGGAATTAACCCCTGCTGTGCGTAGAAAAAAGCGTAAAGTTTCTGATAAGTGTATACCAGATAAAGTGGCTGCGAATTTGCCCGAGTCTGTGCTTTACTCTCAGTTGCTTGAACTCGAGGCTCGTGTAGATGCTACTCTTTGTAGAAAGAAGATTGACATGTTGGAATCCCTGAAGGATCCTCCGCATGTCCAAAAGACCCTCAGGATTTATGTATTCAACCCTTTCGCAAATCAGAAACCACCAGCTACTCCCGAGAGCAAAACTGCTGAGCCACCTTCTTGGTCTATTAAGATTTTCGGGAGGATCTTGGGGGATGGGCCGGATCGTCCTGCGTCTAAAATGGAGCATAAATCTGGTGTTTCTTACCCTAAGTTTTCATCTTTCTTCAAGAAAATTACTGTTTACTTGGATCAGAGTCTATATCCTGATAACCATGTAATCTTGTGGGATTGTTCTCGATCACCAGTGCATCATGATGGTTTTGAGATTAAGAGAAAAGGGGATAAGGAGTTTACAGCAATCATCAGATTGGAAATGAATTATATGCCTGAGAAATTTAAACTTTCGCCAGCTTTGCAAGAGGTTCTTGGTATTGAGGTTGAGACTCGAGCAAGAGTTTTAGCTGCTCTCTGGTACTATGTAAAAACTAGGAAGCTACAGATATCCGATGACACCTCCTCATTCACATGTGATCCACCTCTAAGGAAAGTTTTTGGAGAGGAAAAGTTAAAATTTTCCCTGGTTTCTCAAAAGATTAATCCACATCTGACTGCCCCTCAACCTATTCATTTGGAGCACAGGATTAAGCTATCTGGAAGTAGCCCAGCTGGGAACGCTTGTTATGATGTACTGGTTGATGTTCCCTTCACATTGCAGAAGGAAATGTCCACTTTCTTATCTAATTTAGAGAAGAACAAGGAGATTGATGCATGTGATGAAGTTATTTCTACTGCTATAAAGAAAATCCATGAACATCAAAGAAGGCGAGCTTTTTTTCTTGGATTTAGTCAGTCACCTGCCGATTTTATTAATGCATTAGTTGCGTCTCAAGCCAGAGATCTTAAGCTTGTTTCTGGAGATTCTGGCCGTGATGCAGAAATGGAGCGGTGTTCTGAATTCTACAATCAGTCTTGGTAAACTTCTTTCCTAAGTATCCTAATTCATGCTAGTTGTGTATAAACTTCTCTGTGTTCACAATGCTGTATAACCATATTCTTTTTGTTCAATGTTATGGTCACTCTATCTTTCAAAAGGAAAATTAAATGGTTATCATGGTACTTTGTTGCTGTGAACATCTTTGATCTAACTTAGGGAGGATTTTGTAATCAGAATGCAGCGGCACTGAACCTTTCTGATTGATCTGTCAGTGTTAATCTACATTCGGTGTACCTTACAAACTTTTCAGATAATCTAACCTACTTTATGTGCACCATACAGGACTGAAGATGCCGTCATCCGCTACCTGAACCGCAAGCATGCTTCTGGTACTGACCATTCTGCAAGCAAATAGGTCTTGTCAAGCCATTTTTGGACAAAAGGATGTCCTACAGAAACTGGGGGATCTTATAGCAGCATACTAAATAATCTGCTCAAGAGCATTCTTCCGCTGATGGCTAAAGAGTGTTATTCATTAGGGCTTGTATGTGTTAGGGATTTGTCAACTGCATCCTCAGAAAAGGATAACGCCGAACTGCGAGCAAATGGTTACTCTCTGGCCTTGTCATAATAATTTCATCCTCAGGAATGCTTTGATTTTAATGGATGGAGTACAATTCACAGCATTTCAGCTTTTTGTAGTTTGGCCATTCTTGGCTTTTTGGTGTTTTATTAGATGTATCTGAAACAGGAAATTGGTCATAACAAGCTCACTACCAAGACAAGTTTTGTAGGCACGTAAAAGCTTTTTCTTTTGTAACCAGAAGTTCTTTTACCGAACCAAATTGTACTCCAGCTTTATTGTAATTGGTAGAAGGTTAATGGATATTCCAATTTTAATACTACTATTAAGCAGAACGGAAAAAAGAGATGAAAATTCTACTATGCTCCTTTTACTTTCTCTGAAGGTGTATAATTAGTATCTGGGTATTGCAATTCAATCTTTATCTACACACAAAATAGGGATAAGTTTTGTGTATACGTTACCCTCTCCGGACCTCTTCAATCTTTATTGTTGTACTGTAATTCAACAGAATGTGATGTTATTGGTTATTTTGGAGATAAGAACTCGTTGCTTGTTAATGAACAACTTCAGTATTTATAGACTTCGTTCCTATTTCATTTATATGTTCAAACATGGAAATGATCTTCACCTGTTACAAGTTGTACAGAAGAAAACTACTTTACAAAGATTTCTTGTGTTTAATTTACATTTCCTCTAAGAAGGGTCGTGTAACTTAATAAAATTTATAGTGGAACAAAATCTTTAATCCCAAATGTAGTATTTTCCGAATTTAGTCGGACGCTAATGTTAAGAAAACAAAAAAAAGAAGTACCATTATACTATTGCGTAGACACGTGCATTCCATCATCCCTCTAATCTTTTTCCCCAGGAAGCAAATGCGAATACAAGAGGCCAAAACGATAAGAAATATATTTTACGGTCACATTCTATTCTTTGAGTTTCAGCTAACAAAATCCTCTTCTTCCACCTTTATCTCGCCATTTCCCGCTACCCCCTTTAAACCTTTAGCAGTTGCAGAGAAATAAGCTCTCAAATTCCTTCATAGCTTTCTCTGTCAGCTAAGCAGCCATTCATATAGTTACTCTAATAGTTACGGTGTAGTATTATTTGTTCACATGGCCGCTTTCAGCGCTATTTCACTATGTCCGTACAAACTGTGCCATCAATTAAACCCTAGCAAGCGTTACATTTCTTGCTATACTCCTTCCTCTTCTACTGTAGGTACGTGGGCTTTCTTACATTGCCTCCTTCCCTTTTTGGTTTATTTCTGAGTTGAAAAATACTATAGTAAAGTCCTGCGATAAGATTTTTTTTGAGTATTAGAAAGAAATTGGTTCCAATTACTGGTTGCATTTCTTATCATTTAATTTAAAATTATTCGTTTTTGTTGTCAAGACAAATGAGACGACAACAACAACATACCCAGTATTATCCATGCCACGCCATGGGGTCTGGGTAGTTTAGTGTGTAAGCAAACCTTACCACTACCTTGTGAGGATAGAGTTACTGTTTCCAATAGACACTCGGCTCAGGAAAGCATAAGCGCTACATTAATAAAAATATAAACAAGAAGGGACAGACCAAAAAGCCATATAAAAGCAGAATAAAAACAACAAGACAGTAAGTGTATCAACAATGAAGAAAAACAACTGTTAGTCATAAAAACCTACTACCAACAGAAGGCGAAACTGCGTTTCAATACTACTATTATGAACACTCTAGACTACCTACTCTAGTACCTTATTCCTCGACCTCCTTACCTTCCTATCAAGACAAATGAGACAATTTATGTATTTTTCACAGAATATCCTCTAGTCATTTACAGCTATAGTTGGACATATGTTCTCATTACAGTTACAAACATATATTGATGTTGTACCTTTTCTTGCATTACCTGTGAGTACCTTGTGCTCTTACATATGACCAGCATTGATGTTATTTATTCTATTTATGGTTGGAATTTGATGTCCTTTCAGGTGTGCGTGGATCAAAAGGTCCTCGTAGAAGACCTGCAAAAACTGAGGGTGCTGGAAGAAGCATTGACGATTCTGTCCAACGACGGATGGAGCACTTCTATGAAGGGGCTGATGGCCCACCTTTACGTGTTCTTCCTATTGGTGGTCTGGGAGAAATTGGGATGAATTGCATGCTTGTTGGAAATTATGATCGTTATATTCTCATTGATGCTGGAATAATGTTCCCAGGGTAGGTGTTACAAAGTGGTCTTTCATGCAACTTTTTAACAATCTATTTTGATATTGCCGTGTAGAAAATTATGTGGAATCATCCTTTAATGGGTCTTCTTTGATTGCACTTTCTGCTTTAGTCATTAATCTGATGGTGGAGGTCCAGAGGATCCGTCATCATTTCCTACTGAAAGATCCTCTACACTTTTATGTTTAAGTTAATAGTTCCTATGAGGATAAGCCGTTCAAAGAATTTATTTCCTTAAATGGGGCTAGCTGCTTTCGACTTTGAATTTTAGTTACCTTATCCTTATTTCTTTGTCATGGACTGACTTGGGATCTTGTTGGATGTCCAACTCAGCTATGAAGACCTTGGTGTCCAGAAGATTATTCCTGATACAACATTCATAAAGAAATGGAGCCACAAAATTGAAGCTGTTGTTATAACTCATGGACATGAAGACCACATTGGTGCATTGCCATGGGTAAAGTTTCTATTCTAAGCTATTCATTTTTTTATATGTACTGGTGGACTGGATATATTTGCGTAGATGTGTCAGTGGATAATTGGGAATCCAAGTACAAAGCAGATCATTCTCTAATATGAGGGACAATGAACTCACCCGCTAGATCTAAGTTAAATAGACCATCCTTCTAATATTTCTAAGTGACTAGTCTGTGTCATATAAAATTTTTCCTGCTACCTAGAGTTCTTGTGCTTCTAAGAAGGCCCTTTCTTTGATAGGTTTAGTAAAAATTTGCATCTTTATTGCCCCATGCCCCTTTATTGATTGTCTCCCCTTTATTGGAATTAGCTTTTGCTGATGCACGGAATATATTTCTGGGCACTCCAGTTCCTCTTGTTTAATATTCAAATATGCTTGCATGCTTTTTGCACAGTTTGTTTTGCATTAACAGTGTTATCCAAACAGGTAATTCCTGCTCTGGATTCTCACACACCAATTTTTGCATCATCGTTCACAATGGAGGTTCGTTACGATCCTATGAGTTCTTTGATTGCTTTTAATTATACAGCATTTCCTGTGTTCACTAGGGATATGTGGTAATTTGAAGCCTAAATCCATAAAACATAAGTCAGCCTTATTCAAGATAAGGAAAGGAGAAGATCTTAAGTCAAAGTTGAAATTCTGTCCTTGAGAACCAAATAGGTGAAATCATACTAAGTCTGTTTATCCTTTAGATCCAGTAATGGAACGTAAGTCTTTCTTCTTGTATCTCCTACCAAGCAAGGATAATCTGAAATTACTTGATTTTCTTCTCTTCAATCATGCACCTTCTGTCTTTTCATTGTTATCTTCATCAAATAGGAAAAAGTGAAACTGCCTTCTCTCATCTATTCTATTCATTATCCTTGATCTCTCTATCTCTTTATCTACCTGTTGCTCTGTTTCTTTCTTTCTTCAGCCTTCCTATCTCCATTTGGAATTCGTTTTTCTCTTTTCTCTTTTCTGCTTTTTCTTTTCTCCTTTCTATTAGTGTGGGTGCCTTGTTCTCTTCATTTTTGCTATTAGGAAACAAGGTCAAGTGGTTACTAAAACTATCAAACTGTCTGCAAGGCTTATTTACTTTTCTTGGAGTATGATCCGATACCCATGTAATACATGATTTGAGACACCAATACCTACTGTTGGATACTTATTTCTTAGAGCATCATGTTCCTTTTGCTTTAAACTTTTCAACAGTGTTACATATCGATATCTGTTGAACTAAGTATCTGTTTTTCTTGCAAGCAGCTGATTAAGAAGCGACTGAAAGAATTTGGGATATTTGTTCCATCTAGGCTTAAGGTATTTAAAACAAGAAGGAAATTTACTGCTGGGCCATTTGAGGTAGAACCTATAACGGTTACTCATTCTATTCCAGATTGTAGTGGGATAGTTCTACGTTGTTCCGATGGTACCATCCTCCATACAGGTGACTGGAAGGTATTGCATTCTGCATCCTTCTTATAAGTTATCTGAAACTATTTAGGTTTATAATCTTTATCTTAGGATTATGAGTATTCTGTATTTGACAGATAGATGAGTCACCACTTGATGGAAAGGTTTTTGACCGAGAGGGCCTTGAGGAACTGTCAAAAGAAGGGGTTACTTTGGTACGGTAGTATCTTATTGTGGAAATTGCTTTTTTCAATTAAACTTACTACTTTTAGAATGACTGTGTTCAATCTATTGAAATAATGTGTAATGTTAAATTACATTTAATATAATGGGGTATTATTGAAAGAGTTAACAGTTGCTAAATATATATATTTATTTTTGTATCATATATTTGAGGGGCTTGAAGAGTGTATGGTCAGCAAGAGTCTATTTACTATTTGCTTCCTCTACTAGTAAACTGTAACTGCTATTCAGTCATATGAAATGTACATGCACGTCTGTATTTTCTCCTTAAATGCTCTCCTATTTAGTCCTTTGTTTTTCCTTTTAATATTCAGCTGTATGTACAACTATCCTGCAATTATGCAGTATTGTTGAGCTTTTCTTAGTTCTCTTATTGAGTGCATACATGCATAGCTATGATGTATATGCTCCCACTGTGCTCTCCTCCCGCCTTCCCACATTGCTCTTTGGGCTCAGTCTCTCCTTCTTTACATGCGGATTTGCCTAAAAGTGTTGAAAAATCCTCTTGAATTAGATTAACACCACAATTTCATCGTTGTTAACTTTTCTGAACTGTGAATAGTATGTCTTTTTGTTTTATATTTTGGTATGTTTATTTTGAACATGTGATGCATATAGTACTCCATGCTATCTTAATTATACTAGCTCTTTTCTCCCCAATTGTAAATCATCTCATTGCTTGCCTCAAATGTAGTGTTACTTTTACCCCTTGTTAGGTTCTTGAGCTGCAATCTTCTCTCTTGGTCTCTCATGCGTCGTTTGTTTATGTTTTTCTTTACTATGTTTGTGTTCGATAAAGTCTCTTGTTCTCAAGTTTGCGTACATGTACATATTTTTGGATATGGTGTTGGGTTTTTTTTTCCCAGGGCCAGAAGCTGATATCCAATTTCTCTCAATCCCATAACCGTATTTGCTTTATGTGCATACACCTCTAGTTATTTTTTTTCATTCTAAAAGTTCCACTACATGCCTGGTAAAACATGGAGGATATGTTGTTGATTGGAGCAACCTAAAAGAAATTATTGATGGGTATTTTGTTTCAGATGATGAGTGATTCGACAAATGTCCTTTCCCCTGGAAGGACACTAAGTGAAACTGTAGTTGCAGATTCGCTCCTGAGGCACATTTCGGCTGCCAAAGGAAGGATTATCACTACCCAGTTTGCATCAAATATTCATCGTCTTGGCAGTGTGAAAGCTGCAGCTGACTTGACTGGCAGAAAGCTGGTATGCAGTCTCTCATCTGTGTTATTCGAATATGTTCCCATGACATTATAGTGTTGTTTAGATTATTTTTTCCTGTTTTCCAGATTCAGATTATAACATGATTGCTTAATAGGTATTTGTCGGCATGTCCTTGAGGACATATCTTGACGCTGCATGGAAAGATGGAAAGGCACCAATAGATCCATCAACTCTGGTAATGGCCTAAATTGTCAAGGTCTCTTTTGACTGGAGGACATACTTTATCTGCTTGCAATGACTTTGATATGCCACGTGACATGCCTAATTGTCCAAAAGACTGTTAAGCGTATCAGTTTCGACTTGCATCTTTTTTCTATACCATAGTCGTAAATGTTAACCATGATATAAAATATAAATGGTGGAGTGCTGTGTAAAATCGCTAAAAGATAAAGCGAGGATTAAATAACTCAGTTTTTATTTGATTGTCTAAGACGAGATATGCGGAATTTATCCCAGTATTTGTTATGCAGCAAAATTGACTTTGTTTCCATCATCACCCCTGAATTATATCTGTTGACATCATATGCATAGGTCACTTTGGTGATCTGAAGGCCTAAGAGATACTTCTAGTCCAGGTTCACCTCCACGATGGTATAGCTTAATAGATTGTATGCGGCTTTGTGATTACACCACAGTTTTAATATACGCCAAAAGTACAAACAAATGGCCATAACATGGAAGTCAATAGAACAACATGACTTTTTAGCCAAGCACCAAAGGCCCCTGAGAGAGAAAAAGAACATGTTGAGGTTGTTTTTTTCTTTTTTCTTCTTTTCCGATCTTCCGGGGCGGGGGTGGGGTGGAGATGGGGATGGGAGATGGAGGTTCAGATTCCTGCATTTCCTTATCATACAACTTCGTTAAATTTTGTCTTCTCTTTGGATCTGCTACTCTGATTGAAGTTGAACAACCTAGATCTAATGTCTTGCCCAATTAGAGTCTGAGGATAGAGGGAGCAAAAACACCTTGAACATTTATGTAGTGAGGAGTATCACTCAGATTTTTTGTATGAAATCATTGTTCAATCTGTGGAGCGCATCTGGTGATATAAGGAAGGGATATTTTCAATATGTAACAGTGCCTATTTTCCTAAATTTTTTCCTTATAAATCTACTTGTCTTAGTCTAATTTCTTCCCACACATCTAATTCAGGTAAAGGTGGAAGATATTGATACTTATGCCCCAAAAGATTTGCTCATTGTGACAACAGGTTCTCAAGTAAGTATTGTTGATGCGTTTGCCAGCTTTGCAGGCTTCAATTAGAAAATATGTAACCTAGTCTGCTGGTGTGTCAGGCAGAACCTCGTGCTGCATTGAATCTTGCGTCATATGGAAGTAGTCATTCACTCAAATTAAACAAAGAAGATATAGTTTTGTATTCAGCCAAGGTAATGTATTGTAGAACTCAAGGCAATGAGAATTTTTCGTTAATGACAAATTCATTCTTAGGAATCCTATTCTCAGCAGATGTATCTGATCAATTAAGATCACACGTGTCTTGACTTTGGCATATTAGCTTTAATCTTTTTATGCCCTAGTTCTGACTCCAACAAGAGACTATTTGATACATGCATGCCCACCTAAAGAGAAGAATCTTATTCTCACTCTTCTTCTACCAACTTTTTTATTTCCTTGCAGCCCATGTACTAATAGTTGAGGAATTTTAGTCTTGGTGTTTGTAGCAACTCCCTGGTAGCCCTTCTTTGTGCTTTGTCATCACCATTTTATGCTTCCTGTCATTTAATGAAGTTTATATGCTTTTGAAAAATCCCTGCCATATGAAAGGACGTGGTTTTGTTGATTAGTAGCTTCGCAAAGAGCATTTACCGTAAACGAAGTGAACCATAAATTTCCTGCTTAGCGAGCTGAATAGTATCATAAGTCCAATACAACTTAGGATTGGTGGTAGTTGATGCAGTCAATTCTCACTGGTATATGAATTATTGCATGTAGATACACACTAAATTTTCTGCATCCATCTATATGTTGGTTAAAATATTCTGGTAGATAGAATACTGAGATAGATTGCTGCCCACATGGAATTATATAAGGACTTCCAAAGAGGTTTATAAAGGTCTTGGACTACTTAAACCATGCCTTTAAGATCTTGGGTTGGGTGCTTAGACTCTTTTATATAATGTATAAGAGCCAACATTTTATAAGCTCATTCTCATATTCGTAAATCTGGTGCACTTTGGACGCCAAAATCAGATTACACGCGTCTGAGGGTATTGGGATAAATAGTTGTCCACATGAGTTATATTAGGGCTTCCAAAGAGGTTTATAAAGGTTTTGGACTACTCTACCAATGGCCTTGGGGTTTTGGATTGGATGCTCAAAATCTTTCACATAGAGTATTGGAGTTTTCATTAGTCTGAACCCATTGCCTCGTTGTCGGTGAGATCTTTCAAACTCTATGTTATTGCATTTGAAAATGATGTTGTGCTGCTGAGTTTCCTTCCAATACCAAACAAAAATAGAAAAAGTGAAATCAACATACGGAAAAGGAGCAAAATATGGTCCTTTTGGGGGATAAATTTGTGTAAGGAGGATTGAGAGCAGATACTGACTTGATTTGTATCCTTGCACTGTTTCATTTGATGAACAAGTTAGGGTAAACTCTATTTGGTAACTCTGAATATCTTTTTTTCTCTAATTTCTTTTTCCTATTTATATGATGAATGCTTAGGAACATATCTTCTTGATTTTGTTTGTGCTTTCGGGCACTTTTGAAACTATTCAAAAGAAAGATTCCTTGAGGTGTTCTTTAGAAGTCTAAGTTTGCAGATAGATAATTGATAATGTTGTTGTACTGCTTTATTCAGCTGCACAATTTTTCTTATAGGTGATTCCTGGTAATGAGACCCGGGTGATGGAAATGTTAAACCGTATATCAGATATTGGATCAACAATAGTGATGGGAAAGAATGAGCTGCTGCATACATCCGGCCATGCTCATCGTGAAGAGCTGGTAAAGTTTTCTTTTAAGTGCACTCTTATATTTTAGGGAGTAAAGCTTCCTTTTTTGGGGGTTAATTCTCTAATCTCAAGCATACTGCATTACACTGACTGTTATGATAATGGTTCTTTCTGTTGATCTCTCGAGGCCCATTTAATCATGACTTTATCTTGAGTTATTCCTTTTGCTGGTAGAAGCTAGTACAAATATACCTGGTAGATCTTAGTTGACTTCCTTTCATTCCCCAACTTAAAGGGCGATCTAGGCGTCATTCTCGCTTCCACTTAATAGAAGCAAAATAAAAACTTAGTTACAAGATCATGTGCGTTTCTTTTCATCATATTGTGACTAGAAAAGGGAAAAGGTCTGAGGGATGGGTAAGTGATGTAAAGGGTGAGTGAACCGCACTGCGGGTACTGTTTCTTAAGTTGACTTATATTTGGAAGTTCTACATTGTTGGTACGTAGATGAAAGATATGTGGAAGAGAAGCGGAGGGGAAGGGGGGTATGATTTACATTTTTATGTATCTTTATGCTTTAGAATAACAAAGGAAGGGGGAAGACATTAGACATCGTATCAAATTTTAAGAATACCAGTTTCTCAGATTATATTCCTGAGCATGAGACAATACTGATTCCTTATATCTATTTGACCAATTTTCTTGTCATTCTCCTTTACGATCTCATGCCCAATGTTCTAAGCTGCAATGTTGAAGTTGGATTTCTTGTTTGAAGGAAGAAGTGCTGAAGATTGTGAAGCCACAACATTTTCTTCCAATCCATGGCGAGCTCTTATTCCTAAAAGAGCATGAATTATTGGGGAAATCAACTGGAATTCGGCACACGGCTGTAAGTAGTTTGGTTTTGTTTCAATGTTTGATTGATAATGCTTATTTCTCCAAGTACCTTCAAATTGTATAGACCTGTAGCCATTGGATTTGAGGTGTGTTATAGGAATATCTTCTTGAGACAATGAGGGGAAAATTTATCCATAATGGTATTCTCGCTATTTTAGGAAATGGTGTCATGATAGAAGCATGTCTTTTGGGGAGTTTGCTCGAGGTGTATGCTCCCCATTGGATTTCTCAAGATTTGCAATTCTCCTGCTTTCTAAAACAATAATGAATCGATGAAAACCAGTTCGCTTCGTTTCTACATGCCCATTATGCTGATACTTGACTCGTTCATTTTCTTTTGTTTAATATTTCTTCTTCAGTTCACCCATAATTATAGACGCTCGATTAAGATTTCTGAATTCCAGCATCCCTTCACAAAACTCCAATATTCAGGTCTTGATGTCTTTTTGGGGCACTTAGCTAACTTGTGAGCTTCTAGAGGTCGATGCCAATCATGGATGATAAACATGTCTTGTATCTTTATTCTAGAGCTCAACCTAAACCTCGAATTTGGTGCATTTGTGTCTTCTATCTTTTCCAGCTGGAGCTGGGCAGTAGGCTTGCAAGGAAAATCCGGATTGAAAGTCCATTCATATAGTGCCCTTCATCTCTGGCTAGAAATGATGTCCGGTCAGAAGTGGATATCTTCACTGGTTTAGGCCCAGAATGTGACAGATTTTCATTTTATGTATTTTCTTATTTTTTTGAGATTCTGTAAACGTCAAACCCAGACCCACCTGCCCAGGAGCCAAACAATGGCTTTTCCCATTTTGCTTCCTTGGTGAACTGAAGCCCTACCTCATGGTTAGGGATTGATGGCCCTTTCCACTAGACTATACCTCCCTTGTCAGAGAACAGATCTTACTAAAGCTAGATATACTGTTTGAGGGAAGTTTGTCTGATGTCCAATTTGTTACAATGGCTTAGAACTTAACTAACTGTTTCAACAGTTGTAATTAATTCTCTGCTCCATTAACATTTCTGTGACCCTGTGGTCCTAAAGTCTAAAGATTCTAATTAAAGGATTAAACTATTTCGACTGATTTCTCTTTACCGAATTGGATCTAAGCTGACCAAGTGCTGTTTTATCACTCATGTTTCAGTTTCCAGCTTCTCACTATGGGATGCAAAAAGTGTAAACCTATTTATTTTGATGATTTTTAGTTTTTCCTAAAATACATGAATATATAGACTTGAAGAAGGATAAAGGGGAGAAAAGGGCTCCAAGCATCGGGAATTATCTGCAGTGGGGATGATTTTGTCGAATTGCTTGCTTTATAAGCATTGTCGTCAAGCCTTCTCAGTTCATTCTCAATGTTTATTTAAAGTGACCTCTGTTATTGTAACCGTGTGTGAATAGGTTATCAAGAACGGAGAGATGCTTGGAGTCTCCCATTTGAGGAACAGAAAAGTTCTATCCAATGGTTTCATTTCCTTAGGGAAGGAGAATTTGCAGGTGTCTTACTCTCTCATTGTGTACACAAAGATTGCAGTCTTTAATCTTGCTTGCTAGTTTAAGCTGTTATGTGCAGACATGACACTGATCTAGTAATTTTTTTTGCAGTTGATGTATAGTGATGGTGACAAAGCATTTGGTACAGCTGCTGAACTTTGTATTGATGAGAGACAGAAAATTGCTTCTGATGGTATTATAGTGGTCAGGTAAACTTCTAAAGCTTCTGATGCATGACATACTTGTCCACTTTGTGATACTGAACTTTGTAAGATATCTCTAATGCAGTATGGAAATATTACGTCCTCAATCCACGGATGGTGCGACAGAGAAAGCTTTGAAAGGAAAAATAAGAATCACCACACGCTGCTTGTGGCTTGACAAAGGGAAACTTCTGGATGCGCTTCATAAAGCTGCACATGCTGCACTGTCAAGCTGTCCACTGAGTTGCCCGTTGCCGCACATGGAAAGAACTGTGTCTGAAGTTCTAAGGAAAATGGTCCGGAAGTACAGTAGTAAAAGACCTGAGGTTATTGCCATTGCCTTCGAAAATCCTGCAGGAGTCATGGCTGATGAAATCAATGGAAAACTTGCTGGAAAATCACATGTTGGTTTTGGAATTTCAGCACTGAGGAATGTAATGGATGAAGATCAGAAAGGAAAACGGGCAAGTGAGGCACATGCAGAAGAAGGCCATGGCCCTGGCTATCCAATTGATGATGCAGCCGAGCAAGTGGAAGGTTTTGTTCCTCTAATGTTTCTTTACAATGAAAGAATTTTTCTCAGTAATTCTTTCCAATGCATTCCGTGGTTTTCTAATCTAATAAGATGCTATTCATAGTAATCATCTTCGGTGTTGGTATGCTTGTGATCCTCTTAATGTAATTGCTTTGACATTCACAAAATGGACCAATAACCTAGGTGGTAGGGCAGTGGGGCTGGCTATTCATGTGGGTATATAGTAATTTTGAGTAGAACTAGAACATCACTTAAGCTGTGTGTGTGTGTGTGTGAAGGTCACACATATACTGCAATTACGGGTTATCAACTAACTATAGTTTGTTGTGTTAGCATTTGTCATGTGCATAACAAGTACTGAAAGGGGTTGCTCCAATATTTAGAAGCACTGTAGTGGGTGAAACGGAAGAGATATTTGGTGCTACCACTCTCACACTGTTATACTACTTTGACCTTTTTGGTCTGCAAAAATTTTCCCCAGAACCTGATTGCTTGATTTCTGCTCTCCACAATGGAATTCTTACATGTTCTCAATGTCTAAAGTGCACTGTGCAGTTGCTGGCTTGCAGTATGTTGTGCATCATGAAAGTAGTGTCTTTTATTTTCTTTTCTGGAGAAGATAATTTCATTAGTGGGTGGATAGATATTACATCGGAAATTGCTTGTTGGTTTTCGTCTTCTGACATGACTAAATCTTATGCATCCAATGCATGCTTTAAATTTGCTGTCGTTTCTTCCTTAACTTTTACGTCACACAGGTGATGATATGGATATTGAGAGACTTACACACGACAGAGCAACTACTTCAAGTTCAATCTCGGGGGATGGATATTTTACCACCAAGGTATTATTAGATGATTCTTTGAATCCATTTGTATCATCATCACTACTTGCTCAGTTACAAGAAGTTAGTCTTGGTGCTTTGACACAGGAGGAATCAGAATCGTCCAGAGAAGAGAGCATTCAAATTGATTCTGGCTTTCCGGAATCTATGATGAAATCTTCCAAGCCTTTGAAGAGGAACAGATGGAAACATGATGAGATGAAGAAGTTGATAAAATTGCGTGGGGAACTCCACAGCAGGTTCCAAGTTGTTCGAGGACGAATGGCACTATGGGAAGAGATATCTTCAAATTTACTATCTACTGGAGTCAATCGAAGTCCTGCGCAGTGTAAATCTCTCTGGGCTTCTCTAGTTCAAAAGTATGAGGTGAGTGTTTCTTTTTTGTTTCCTCCTTGAGCGCGTGTACATTTACTTGGCAGTGCTGGTTAGTATGCTCAAACTTTATTGGGAGAAACAATATATCACAATAAAACGATAAAACCATGCATTTTAAATGACTATCCTTTTCAGAACAATTTTTTCCTGAAGGATGTCACATTATTTATTTTTCTGCGGACATAGAAGTGAAAAAAGGGATAGGTACCCTTTTGTTATGGTGTGTTGTGACCTCTTAGGACAAAAAGGAGAGAAATCGACACAAAATAGACGCACATGAAATATTTGTATATTTCCTTTTAGTTGAAGATTCGCTTTTCATTGAAATTCTTGTGCCAACATTTTCTGTTTGGAAGTTCTTCCTCAGCCAAGTGATAAGATGCTACTTTTAACAGCTTTTTGCTATCCTGTAACAGGAAAGCAAGAGTGATAAGAAAAGCCAGGAAAAATGGCCTTACTTTGAGGAGATGAATGAGATCTTGTCTGATTTGGAGGCGACGGCCCAGAAATGATTGCATATGTGTGATTGAGGCTAGTGTTTGTGGAGGTAATTCTTCATTGGTGGGATGTGAAATTGTGGTCAGTTAGATTTATCCAAAAAGACCGATGCACCCTTAAAAATGCAGACTCAAGACTTCATCATTTGTACTGGCACCTCTTGTTTAGCTGTTGCGCAAGCTCTCCAAATGAAGCCAGAGGCGGAGGAGGGATTGACCTATTAGGTGTCCTTATAAGCTGGTGAAAGGCTGGTAAATTTTGCAATATTTTTAGTGATTTTGGGGGTTAGGAGTGTTGAGAAAGCACTTACCTAAGTTTCAATTTTTTCAAAATAGGAGGATAGACAAAAATCTTACGTAATATTTTCCGAGTGGATAAGTTGAAAGTGGCTCAAAAGTTGTCGAGATTTTGATGATAAGAGTTAGCTTACGTTTGATTCGGGGTACTTGTACGCTACTAGGCACTATTGATCACGTATTGCATGTTGTACTATACCATTGAAAGCCTTGAAGAGCGAAGATGAGATGTAGAATCTGCTTTATCAAGGATAGAAGGCGATAATTTATAGAAAAATTCTTCCAAATTAATTAATTCTTGGTATAGTAACATATTATCGTACTCCTAAGGTTTAATTGCATCAGACAGTTGAGTTTTTCTAAGTTGTTTTGGGCGAAATCATAGCTCCATCAATCATAATTCATATTTCCTAAATTATGCAAATTATTGTAGTCTCTTTGTGTAATAAGAAACTTTTTATAATTAAAATTTTATTAATTATTCAAGGGAAGGCCTATATCTTGGTTTTATTATCGCCTAGTTAACATTGAGTGAATTATATCATGCTAGTAACTAGAAGATAAAGTGTTTATTGTCCAGATGTCCACACTGAGGCAAAATGAAGTTCGTGATATTAGTTTGAACTCCTTACGAGGGAAAGTTTACCATGTGCATATGTTTAAAAGAAAAACAAGTACACTAAAATAGAATATATATTTAAGCATTTGTGGAGCTACAAATTTATACAAGAAAATTCAAAAAAAAATTAAAAAATATTGAAGCGTCACAACTAGAATTTTAAACTATGATCTAAAACGACTTTTAACTACTTTTACCACTATGCTAGAATCCTTATGACCGGTGAAAGAGATTCAATTGAACCCTATTGCCTCCCTTTAGCTCCGCCCCTATATTTAAGAGTTAAGTTATTTGAATTATTGATGTTATTTAAATGATTATAGCAGATTATTACTTTATTTTTTGGGTTAAATCTTAAACTATTTGGGATTCTACGCTCTATCTTAATTATGTTAAAACTATTTACATCATGTAGCTGCAAAAGTGTGTGTATATATATATTCGACTATTATTTTCAAAGCGGCTATACAATATCATTCTTTCAAGATAAAAAGAAAATACTGCTTGATAATAAATAGTAACTAGACAAAAAGAAAAAAGAAAGAAAGAAATAATAACTGTTTATTTTAGTTAAAGATATATGCTATGATGTTATAAGAGTAAATACTGTAAATTATCTCCTATGGTCATTTACAATTTAAATAGAAGAATATGATTAGAAGGGAAATGTTAGTGAATTACATAATTATTAATTCAGGATTAGAGCAAATATTTTTTCTTTCCTATACAATATTTGAAACTTATTTATCAAAATTGTTCAAGTTTTGTATATTCCCGTCCTAAATAAGTTTTTCTTACAATTTATATACAATCCATTATTAGTGCCTTAAATTAGGCGATTCTTTGCTTGAAAAATGACATAAATGAAGGGAGCGGAATTCAAATTGTCCTTTCATCTAAATAAGACTCCTTCCAATTGTGTGTTACTTATTTTAAGACATAATTAGCGCAACTCTTATCTCTTTGTCATAATTACCTATTTTAAGAAAAGAATAATGTATGGTACAACTACATAAAATTTAAAACAAATTTCATATAAATTTAATACAAAATTTGATATATCTACAACAACATACATACTAAAAACAAATTTCATATAACTAATTATACAATATACAATTTACTTACAACTTTCATACATCATTTTTACTCAGTTAAATACAACTACAACATCATACAATTTAAATACAATTTTCCTACGAATTTTATACAATAGATCTTTTGTATATATTTTGTATGTGGTGTGTTTTTTTTCGAATTTCAATATGAAAATCCAGCCAAATCAAATCTAATCTTCACCAAATACCCTCAAAAACGAGATATAAACTCCATAGAATATTTTCAATCATTTGCAATAACACCCAATTCAAAGAAAACATATTTTTTTGAAAATTCGAATTCGAATTCAAAGCTTCGAAGCCTTTTAATGGCTATCAATGGTGGAGAGTCAAACCCCTTCAAAATTTATTGATTGACAATTTCAATTCAAACAATCCAGCCAAATAATCAATGTATATCTACTGCTAGCCTGCCATTGTAATACCAACAAGAAAAGGGGAAGTCTAGAAAAGCTCCAAAACTCCAGCCATGGTAAAATTCAAATCGATAAAATGTTAATCCCTTTCTTTGCCATTGTTAGAGAAAATTATGAGCTTTAGAAGAAAAAATCTTGTAGAATCGGTGTAGAAAGAGGGTTGATTTCAAAGAGAGAAAGACTAGAGTTTGTCTAGGTAAGTAAAGAATTGTGAGGATTTTTCAGAATTTATTAAATTAATAGGATATAATCAAGGAATACTCATTTAAAACTAATTTGTATATAATTAACAAGTTCTATATGACAATGTAATTAAGTTAAAATTTAATTAGGGAGGGTAAATAAGTTTCGTATAAATTGTAATAATAAGTTGGTAAAAATGGCTTTTATTTACCGCCCCAAGAAACACACTATTAAGGGGGGAAAACGAATTTCCTGCCCTTTGAAGAGTCTCCTTTTATTTCTAACTTCAAAATAAATTCGCAGTGTAATTTGGCAGCGGCAGCAATGGAGGATTGCACATCATCCCTTCCTCCGAACAAAGCAACAACTTCTGGTGCCGCAAAATACCTAGCCGACCTCCCTTCTCGCGGCCTCTTTTCCTCCACCACTACTGTCGTCTCCTCTACTCCGGTAACATTTCCCCCCTTCCAAAACCCTAATTTTTTCACCCTTGCCCTATTCCCTTTTCTTTACTGATGCTTTATATGTGTAATTAATACAGGTTAAACATGATGTTTCACTGTACAGTTTAATTGAGTAGATATAACTGTTCCTTTTTATGTTTTGAGTAGATTTAACTGTTACTAGTATATATTTATCCCAAACTTATTTTCTTTTCTTCTTTGGTGGGATAAATTTTGGAGTAGAAATAGAAAAAAAACAGCAGAAGAAATTAGGTCTTATATTGGATGTAGAGTTCAGGGAGATACAAACACGAGTACACACAGTAGTATGTTTTACTGAATAAAGTTTCATTTAGTAGAGAAAAAAACTGTTCTAGCCATGCTTGCCTTTTGCTC